GGTATTATTCTGAAAGACACCATATTAAATTATTAAACATGAAACCAGTATTAAATAAACATTTATATAATCATTTTAAACAATTTAGAAGAAAGTTTTATATAATTTTTTAATAATTGCGAAGTTATTTAAATTATAATATATTTTGTATCAAGTTTGAGAAACGCCATTTTAGTCACGAATTTTAGTAAAGTTTATATACGAGTTGCATACTATACTTGTTTTACGACAAATACTTATTATTAAGTAAAAATGATTTAAATTAAATATTTGTATAGAGCGACATCTATAAAACAATAGAGTTACCATTCCTCGGAACCTGTATTACCGGCGCGCCGGTGAAAATGTCAAATTTTTATGTGTACATCGAAATGTATCCCTTGAAAATGAACTAACAACAGTTTATACAGTGAAATTAGAGTAAATGGTTTATGGGCACTTCACGGTGGATTCTCCACCCAAAATTAAGTTAAATCGAATTTACTGCCGGCGAAATAAAAAGGTCAGTACAATGTTTATATAAACTTTTTAACTAAAGGCCTTGAGAAACCATTTAATACATTTTGTATTTTTGTATTGAAATAATTTTACAAGAAGCGCACTTTATTTTTAGGATTGTATGACAATTCACAACTGTCAACTAACTTAAAACTGACTTCAGCCCGTGACTAAAACGCCCTTAAGCCAAAAAGGTCAAAAGTGTCATGGAAACATGTACGATAATGGGAGTTTTAAAGGTTTGATTTTTTAGGACTATATATAATTAGAGGGCATAGATTTTTTATGATGTATAATAGCTATAGCTATATTAATATTAGTTAAATTTATTAAGTTTACTTTATGCTTAACTTTATTACATACTTTTTAAATTTAAATTAGAGAGAATAGACAAAGGAAATATAAATGTTAAAGGTTTAGAGAACATTCTTGAAGTAGGTAATTTTAACGTTATTTTTACGTAAATATATGGTATTTTATTTATTTTTTGGTCGTATATCGTATTATGTATTAAAAGTTTTAATTTAAAACTCACGTATTAAACCATTTCCCATATTTGGTAATTTTTCGTATTATACCGCTATTTTACCGTTTTGGTTTACAGTAAAAATAGATTACATCAATATATAAGTAAACATGTAGTTATTTTAACTTAATAAGCTGCTTGGGTAATGTAGAATGGACAATGTTCATACAGTTTTTATGCAAGTTAAGCTTGATGAGCACATTTTTTAAATGGATCAAAATTAAGAGAACGACCATTGGCATGTTTTTATTTCTAAATAATGGATAGTGCATTCAATTCAGACGTAACTCAAATACAAAGTTGGAACCCAATACTTTTGAGTCAAATTTTAAAGTATAAAAATTTAAAAATAAATCATGTTTTTTTCAGAATTTACGTTTTTTTTTTAATTTCGCTGGTTTCGTATTTAAAACCTCCCTTCCCTGTTATATATCTGACATGGTACACATGATAGACTTTTATACAAGGTCGGAAAAAAATTAAAAATTTAAAAATTCGCTACCCTATATAATGTCGTCAGACATAGGGTTCTTTTAAGAACCAAAAACCGACAACACGGAGCAGATCCCGGAAAACCAACAATACAAATATAAAATGCCCATTCCTTGGATGTCTAAAGTGGTTTGGGATAAGCACCGCGACTAAGGCTAATACAATTTACAAAAGTAACATTTAAAAATAAAACCTTAGTCATTGTCATTTTGTTGCATAAAGTCAACATTGTTAAAACATCGTCAAGGTAAAAAATAGATTCGCGCACCGACTAAAGTAAAAAAATGTATGTGCTATTTTTCAAACACATATCAATAAAAAAATAACTTTTTTAACGGTTGTACAAAACAGAGAGGAAGCTTTTATATTATAGCCGAGCTCAGTATTACCTGCCGAGGCGCTAGCCAAGGCTGCAGATCAAATCAAGGAAGTTAATATGCTTTCAAGTGTTTAATAATTCTGTACTTAAATTAAAACATCTTCAGTTTGTGTCATATGTAGATAAAGATGTCGTTTGACATTATAGGTTATGTGCATACATTTATTTTACAGCACTTGACCTATTACCTACACTGCGTGCTTATATCCTCTTTATATCTAGGGTTGCGACTGTTACAATATTAAAATTGGTATAAGCCTAAAAAAGGTAATCGCAGGTCATCTATTTATTCGATATTAAATTATCTTCATTCGCATTCGCCATTTTAAACTAAATTTTAACTCTTTTCATAATATAAAACCAATTTAATTAAATTAAACTGTCTAAAGCAATTAACTTAATGCTATAAAACGCAAATGGCCTATTCTAAATTGACAAAATGATAACTGTCTAATTAGGCTCTTAAAAGAGACGAATAGCAAATTAAACTCCCCTTAATTTTTTTTTTTTTAATTTGAATTTATATCGGGCAGTAAAACGTAGTTAATCGAAGACGGCGCTTCGAATGTAAGTATCATTTTGTCGGTTTATGGTCCTTTTCAGTTGCATTAAGATATATGTGACCTGTATTTACCGGATTTATTGTATTTGGTGCAAACCTGTCGGAAATGGGGCAATTGAAACTATCCAATACTTTTCACTTACTTTTAACCGGGTAGACCTTTTTATTTAGGATGTTTAGATTGAAAGGATTTATTGTGATTATTATAAACATTAAAATCGTATATAAATTATTATTATATTATTAAAATATTTTTGTTGTCGATTAACTTCTCTTAGAATATATCGACTATATTAAATTTTAACAGCATGTGTATTATAAGCAGTGGCGGCTCGTCAGGGTAGGCCTCTGAGGCCGCGCCTCACCCTTAAAATGAAGGAACGAACGACTTTTTGTATTTAGATTTTTGCCTATTACAAGTTGTATTTTTACAACAGTTCTACCCAATAAACCAATCAATCATACTAAGCGTAAATAAAAATCCAAAGCCCGTCAAGGTAACGTGCATCGTTGAGAGTCGCTAGGACAGAGGCGAAATTTTCACAGCATCGCATGCTCCCATTTACCTCTAGAAAGCGAAAATGACTCACCAACAAAAATTCGCGAATAAATACCGTAGATTCAGTCGTAGATGAGGCGAAATTTAGTTAGCTTGGCTTGTTTTGATTGGTGGTTTTATCACATGACCGATGATAATCGCTTGTGGGGGTCCGTCTATGGTGGGAGGTCAGTGTTCTCTGGCTGATCTTTTATAAATTTTGTCTCGATTAGTTAAATTTCTTATTTAATTATTGTAGGGAACACACTAAGGTAGATTTTAGCAGTTTTTATTAAGCAAATTTTATATTTTGAAATTATAGATTGCATAATTCTTCAATTAGAGACGCGGTTTGAAAATTTAGAATAACTTTAAAATCTCACTGCAGACCCACAATTAGCTATAGTATTTTATATTTTTTAATACTTAGGTAGGGGTCGACTTTTTAGTTTTATTTTTATTTTTTGATTAAATTATTTATTTTTAACTTTTTTAAGAATATATTTTTAAGTTTTAAGATTAAAACTAGTTTTTGATCTGATATTTTGTTTGTTTTGTTTTTTAGAGTTTATTTTTTATTTATAATGGTTTAGTAGGGCTATCGGCGATGACCTCCATTTTAAAAAAGGTCAACGCGTCGCAGAATAATACCTCCCGGGTGACGTGGAAATTTATTTGTATTTAGACAAAATTAACCTTATGTAGCATCACCCTCCTGTACACCCACGAGACGCCATTGATTATAAGGCTCTGTTTTAAAGCCTATTTTAAATGACACCATTTTAATTGAAATGGGACCTGTTGACCAGTTGGATCTACAAATATTATTTAACCAAAAATCCCTAAAAATAAATTGTAAATATAAGCATAAAAAATAAGATTTTTTTTAAATATTTGATGTTGCCACCTGACTATAGCTGGCCTCATCAGCATCGTCATACACTGGGCTCCCAGAGATATTTTCCCCCTTTCAGTTCTTCTACGTATTCTGCAACTGCACAGCATTACCTGTGTTTAATGGATACAAAGTTTCACCCCGGCTGGTACATCACCCTTGTGAGCTCGTGGACGACAGTGTCGATGGTTAAGACCCCTTCCGGAATTTTGTCGCCAGGCCGGGCTATTCGCCCGATTTTTGCTAGTAGAGTTCGGGACAAGGAGGAAAAACATTTTGGTTTTCGGGGGACGATAGACTGACCCAGGGCAAAGTATAGCGTTACACTCGAGATTATGCGCATTATCTTTCGTATTCGTATCTTTCTATTTTTTTTCTATCTAATAGTCTCAAAAACCAATAGCAGCCATAAGAAATTAAAAAGTTGACCACTGTTGCTTGAAATCTAGAACAACTAGATTTTTTTTGACAATGTCATTAAAATTTAACCCTATTGTGAAAATTCCATATTTTGGGTAAAAAATTCTTATCTTTCAGAAAAAAATAACCAAATTGAAATAAATCGCATTTTTCACTTTAATTAATGGTCTTTCGTTACTTATAATAGGTAATCAATATCAAAAACGGTACTGTTGAAAAAAATATATACCTACATTTGTATATATGTATTTGTTTTTTATGTTACCAAAAATCACCACTAAGCGTTAATACTTAATTAAATATGTTTTTTATTTAGAAAAAGGCCAAATAAATAAAGAAATAATTTACTTTTATACCCCCTAACCCCCCATAGCATTAATTAAGGTAAATATATGCCCTAGGCGTAAGATACACGTTAACAGACCCCTTTATTTTAATTTATTTCAGGAAAAATACATCCGTTTAAAATTATAATTTAAAGGAAAAGTGGTAATTAGACTTTGATTAATGAAAGAAATTAATTAGTCCCGTAAAATTATGTTTAGATCTTATACAAACCGTTTCAAGCACCCAATTCACCTTAATATAATATTATATTAATTTGTTCTCTTAAATGTAAAGAATAAACAAAACAATAATTATTTACGAAACATTAAATTTTATTTAACAATTTACATGTATCTATACAGTTAGTTATGTATATTAATTTATAAATATCGATTTATTATAATATAATTTTCAAAATTATGAAAAATTGTAAAAGCTTATTTAAAATAGAAACCTTAAGTATAAAATCACACAGTAATAACTTACTATTAGGGCCTTAATTAAGTACTTTAAGTACCTCCTTACTAATATAATACAAATAATATTATTTACATATACACAGGGCACTCTTTAATTTATAAATGAACCTTAAATATTTTTAGAGCACCCTGTATAGACATTTACGAAAAAATACGAAAATTCGTGCGGTAGTATTAAAAACAGGTGAACATCAATTTTTACCATTAAATTCTTAATAATTAAGTCTTATTCTAGCTTAAAGCGGAAGATTCATTAAAAATATTAAATTCTATTTAGGAAATTTAATATATAGATTTAAACATGGCCGGCTACAGATTAATAGCATTTCTAATCAAGTTTTTATATAAAATTGCGTTTAGCTACTTCACAGCACAGAATTATTTTAAATGAAAGTGAAAATAGTTTTGTAAATATAACTTTGGCGAAATTTATAATGAACTATTGATATGTAATAAAATTAGAAAATATAAAAGTATAATTCTACGGTGATAATCACCGGCGTGATGTAATGTAAAAAAGGAATGTGGTATGGTCCCGAAAATCAAAATTTAATCAGACCTAATAAACGTTTTTGAATTTGTTTAAACTTCTTCTCTCTCTTTTTCGGCACAAAAACACTAGAAACTAATCATATTAGGCCTTGTTCCACACAAGATAAAATAGTTACAGTCAGTCTTATGAGAAACTCATTGAAACATCTGTTCATGTACCGTTGGTGATTGCATGCTCCTTTTTAATCTCGTCTATCGTCGATATCGATATTTTTTTATCCCCTGGGAAGCTAAAGGTTAACTCCCTATCGCAGAATAAAGGACTGTGGTTGTTTTCAAGTATTGATTCTCCTTCTTTGGCTAGTTTGTCTTCATGGGTGTAATATTTGGCAGCATGTCTTCTCGAATAGCATAAAGCTCCAATTATAACCAAAACTGTTAAAAATAATAGACAGACGGACATACTAGCTGCTACAATACCAACTCTACCGTCTTCACCCAGAAAGAAGAAATTGGCATCACCGGAGTTGTAGCTAGCGGCAGTGCACCAAGTGAGCTCGCTTCGTTCCACATTAGCAAGTTTCTTGTTGCTCATGGTATAAGGATACATGCAAACAACATCCCTGTATGCTCCTGTCTTGTTGGATTTCTCTAATAGGGGAACTATGTGGCATAAATCGCAGGACCAAGGATTCTTATCAAGTTTAATTTTACGAACGTTGTCCAAAACCAAAAGGATCTCTTCGTTGAGTCCACGAAACATGTTCCTGGATATATCGAGGGTGGTGAGGTTGGACGGGATAACTTCGATCGGCAGGTCTGATAGGCGGTTGTGGCTTAAATCGAGTACGTTTAAACTATCTGGAAATATCTGTAGATGAATATCGGCAATATCGCAGTGAGATAAATGGAGTTCCTTCAGTCTAATGGTAAGCAGGTCTTGCAACGTGTTAAGCTTGATGTGGTTGCCGCTGAGCACCAACACTTCGAGCGTATTGGCAATCGGAGACAAGGATCCGTTTTCCAGGCTCTCCAGCTTGTTGTGACTCAAGTTAAGTTCGCTAAAATTATGCAAATCTTGAAAAGCGTTCGCGGAAATGCGAGCGATTTCATTGTGGGCCAAATTTAATTTTCCCATTTGCGACTGGTGCACAAAAGTGGAATCCGACAAAGCACGGATCTGATTGCCATCGAGCTTAAGATTTTTTAGACTTTGCAAGCCCCTTATGTCTTCGTTCAATATCGATTTAATTTCATTTTCTCCCAAGTCTAAGTGTGTCAGCTGATACAGTTGCTTGTTCACGGCAGGATCAAGCTTGTGTAAACCACAGTTTCTACATTCCAATACTCTCAGTTCCTGTAACAATAAAAACAATGTTTTATTTATTTTACAGGATTAATTTTTAAACAAAATAAATATAAGAAAAGTAAACATTATTTTTGTTATTAAAATTCTTAAATAAGATATAGAAACAAGAAACTATCATTCCAGATACAATGTTTGTTATAATATAATATATTATATATTAAACCAAAGAATGGAATAATATAAGGTTCATTTTTTTACCCAATGGTGATTTTTAATGTAATTTATGTTAATTTTTAACAGGCTTCTGGTTAAAATAAGATGCGTTCATTAATGTCATTAATATCATTTAGGTATATCTTTTCTTTTTAAAAATTTGGTAAAACTTTTTTTCTTGAATCTTAATAATTATATTTCTTATAATAATTATTACAAAAATTATAATTAAATTAATTAATTATTTACTTAATATATTAATTACATTAATAAATTCATCATAAGAAAAATCATACTTTAATTTTAGTTTTAAAATTAAAAATTTCACGTAATTCTAACAAATATTAAAACTAATATAGGTATACATTTTTCCGGTCAATTTTTTAAACCTTTCATCTGTGCTTTATTTGTCAATTTTTGACCAATCAAAAGTAATAGTTGCGAATATTGGCTGGTTAATTTTGCGTATACCGATATTAGTTTATAATGACATTAAATTAACAAGTTCTGCGCAAGCAGAATTTAAATAAAAGTTTGCAGCTTTATCATACTTTATTGACAAATTTCAAAATTTATTTAAAAAATCCAAGTAATAGAGATTTTATTCCATTTTAAATTTGCATTACTTTTCCTAAAATAATAAAAATAAAATAAAATCTCTAATACTTGAATTTTTAAATAAATTTTGATATTTGTCAATAAACTATGGTAAATTATGAATTGCACTACTAAAATTTGTATTATCTTTATTAGGGGGGACAGGCTGCAGAGGAGCTGCAGCAAAAACTATCTTTTTTTTAGCAAACTTCCATTTAAATTCTGCTTGTGCAGAACTTGTTAATTTAATGTCATTATAAACTCATATAAATTTGGTGTGGGTCCCATATCTAATAACTGAGATATGGCATATGCACCAGCCGCCACTGGGACCAGTTCAAATTACAGGAATATGACTGGGTACGAGGCGTATACGAGGTGTGTTCAGAAAATATAGGGTATTTTCGTTTTTTGAAACAAATATTTATTTATTCGTTTACATTAATGTTGTCGCCTTCAAAATAGTCCCCATTGGATTTTATGCACATGTGCCAGCTCTTCTTCCAATACTCGAAACACTTCTAAAACTCTATCTTTGGGATAGCCTTGTTCTTTCAGCGATGCGCTTTTAATGTCATCTATGCTTGCAAAACGACGGCCCTTTAAGGTTCTCTTTATTTTTGGGAATAGGAAAAAGTCAGACAGAGGCATGTCTGGCGAATATGGAGGCTGGGGCATCATTACAGTATTGTTTTTGGCCAAAAATGTTGTTCAAAATTTAACAAGTTTAGAACAAATTGTGCTGCCACGCGTTTCATACCCAAAACATTCGAAAAAATTTCATGGGATGAGCCAATCGATATACCAACATCATCAGCGACTTCTCTGATGGTTTATAACCATTTCTTTCATTTTTTCCATGTTTTTATCGGTTGTTAATGTGCTTGTGCGTTCGGAGCGTTCGTCATCTTCAACGTCTTCACGGCCATCTTGGAAACTCTTATACCACTTGTAAACTTTTGTTTTACTTATAGCAGACTCACTATAGGCCTTTCTTAACATTTCACAGAATTTATTTCATTTTTTAAGCAAAATTGGTTACAAATTCTTTGATCCATTTCTTTTAACAAACGAAAAATCGCCGAGCTCATAAAACACGTCTAACCTTAGCGGCTGCCACAGACAAAGTAAACAATGCAAGCAGCTAAAGTTTTTATCATACTTCGGGGGCATGTATACCAACATAATAAAAAAAATTTTATGACAACCGGACCCTCCGAACACGCGAAATTTAACAATTCCCGTTATTTTCTGAACACACCTCGTATATTCAATTTCGATGCCTTTTGATTTAAATTTTGTGATATATTTTTAATTTTCGTATAACTATGTGAATATTTTTAAAAATTTAAATGTTAATATAGTTTCTATAGACGTATGTATTAATTCAGGGTGGCCAAGTTTTAGGATTTCACTAGCGGATAGTTTATCAAAAAATCAAGGTATAAGGAGGTCCACGTGAGATGGATTCATATACTTGCATCAGAAAATATCATCAGATCATTTTCTATAGAAAGTAAATTCGAAAATATCAAGAAACAATTTCCCCTAAATAGCTTACTAATTTTGTCAACGTTCAAAAAGTTGGAATAATACGTGCTGCTTTTCTTATCATTCTATTTTCGAAATCGTAGTTTTTCGTTGTTATGCAGCTAATTTAAAATTGTTTTAGTTTGTGAAAGTGCAGAATGGATTTAGAAAAAGAATTTAAAGTAGTGGAGAAACAATATTTTGCGGATTTTGATGAAGATTACGAAGATCAAGGTGGAGGTGCAGGTGTTAGTGACATAGAAGATGACGGGTGTAACATATTCGTCTTTCCATATATCTCTCAGGATATTGATGAAAATAAAAGATCAAAAAAAGCAATTCTTGATCTATTTACAATTTTTTCTCGATTTTTATAATTTATGTTGAACTTTAAGGATGATTTCCAGCAAAAGTTTCAAACTTAGGAGTCTGCAGTTTGTTCCCTTGAAAAATACGTTCAATTTTCTATAATTTTCGATCAAAAAAAATAAAAATTGATTCTTCCAACCAAAGGTACCTTTCTATAGTCCAGGTATATTATAAGCTTATTAAAAAAATAAATATTATTTTAACGTTGTTTATTAATTCTTAAATTATTAAAGGTTCCTTTTGGACCACCCTTTGTATACTGAATATGTATATTGCACCTGTTTTTTGTTAACCAATTCCCCGACACTTTTTTAAGGTATGGCTTTGATAGATATCTATATCTATTAGAATAATTTGAACATACATAATATAATATTCATAATAAATAGGCCCCAAATAGGACCCTTGTGATACACCAGATGATGGGATAAAAGAATGCCTTAAAACCGTTTAAAGGAAAATAGGCAACCTGTATTTTATATCCTAGTCGAGATCATAGACAGTATAAACCAATATTCAGTTGCTGTTTGTTTGCAAGAGTAAACCCTTTAATTAGGTACAAATACCATTAAGACTTGAAATAACTAACTAAGCTTTACAATAATCGTAGTTGCTTTACACAATCCACTGCCAGTGCAAGTGTTTTGTATATAATTCATTAAGTTCCGAGGCGAATTATACCGTCGTTAATTCAACGCTCATCAATTATAATTATTAATTTAAACAAAAATAAATATTACCTTAATATCTCCAAATACTTCGGGATTGAGCTCTCCTAGTTGATTCCCACTTAATTTTAACACTCTTAACTTGTTAATGTTATGGAATAAGCTGATTACCAATGTGGTGAGTCTATTCCTTTGGATGGACAATAATCTCAGCTCTTTTAAAAATTGAAACGAAGAACTGGGCAAGGAATGTATTCTGTTATCGTCCAGATACAATTCTTTTAATCTATCCAATCCTCTGAAATTGTTCGGTAAGGCCTGAGTGATATTGTTTTGCGACAAATTTAAGACTTCGAGCTTAGTAAGACCCCAGAAAAAGTGCAGGCCCAGTTGAGGTATATTAGAGCGAGTTATATGGATTTCCTCGAGTTTTTTGTAGCTCTGGAATATCGGGCTCATCTGGAGATCGTTTAAGTTGTCTTCTGGAGCCGATATTTTTATTATCTGAGTTTCTAAAGTTATACCATCCAGGTTAACAGAGCCAGTCATGCCGCCTTTTACGCAAGCAACCACTTTGCGATCTTTGGAATCTAAAGAGCAAGTGCATCTTGACGGGCATGGTAAGGAGTTGATTTTCGCCAGGAAGGCAGATATAATTAGCAGCTTGAATATCATCCTGAAACAATAAAAAGTAATTGTAAATTTTATGTTTTTAATTATTTTCTATACATAGTTCGTACGTTATAAAACAATTGAATGGTGCATTTGCATGCATATGCAGAGATGTAAATCAGGGCGGCTTTTTACGCCCGCGCGCTTTTCATAAAAATTTACTGAACTTTTCTCGTTGCTCGGCGTTGCTTTAGTTTTACTGGTTCGCTAACGTCAACTATGTGCATACTAAGTATTTTTGCGGAACTTTTATAGCAGGTATTTTAATTAAAGAACCATAAACCAAATTTAGGTAAACAGTGGTTTTTAAAAATGCAGAAAGAAAATAATGACACTGGAGATGGTGTTGATAAATGCTTAGGAGATTGTAACAATGGTAATTTGTAGTTTAACACTTATCTGTGGATCTTTTTGGAGCCGTTTTAATGCAGATAACGCAAAACAGTAGAAAGTTTTCGTGTTAATTTACATGTTTGCTTAAAATTGCGCCCGATAAAATTGTAGGAAACGAAAGTTATTAGTTAATATTACAAGGAGGGTAAAATATTATTCTAGCGCCCAAGTATAATGGAGCCATTTAAGTTTAAATTACCTCCTGATGAAAACAAGATAAGTTATTTTATAACTTAAGACTTCATATAATTACCATTTATGGGGTATCATGGACCGTTAGCACAGTGTATACCTTAAAAGTGTCGCAAATTTACCGATTTTATTTATTAGTACATATTCAAAGTTGCGCTGCAGTTTTCTTGTTTTTCATTAAAAATTTCTTAATTAAATTAAGTTAACCTGAAGTAATTTACTTCAAAAACTTTGAATATTAATTGCTTTCCCAACAAATTTTATTTTCTCATCCCTCGGTACAGTTAAACTATATCAAAGAGAAAGCACCAAACAAGCTTGCCTGAGGCGAACAAACGATTTGTTTAAAGCGCAAAAAATATTATAAGCCATGTAACAGACAGTAAAAAACTTGACAAAGAAAATTAATATTTTATAAATAACAAGGTGTTTCTTAATTGTATGCTAATACTTAATGAGATCAATCCATAAACAAGAACAATGTATACAAACCCACATACACAGTGTTTCCTAATAATTAAATTAGATGCCAATACTGCTTTAATTTTACTTTGTGTCTAGAGTCCCGAGGAGGTACTTAAGTTTGATCACACTGTAAACCGGTATTATTCCCCGAGAGTTATAAAATTGATATTGGGCTGGGTAGCTCAGATGGTAGGGCGCTCGATTAGCATCGGGTTCGATACTGGGCGCCTCTTCAACTTTTTCATTTTTATTTTATGAATTTACGTAACTAGCCAAAATCGGGCGTATGGTCGGCCCGGCGACAAAATTCCGACCACGACATCCTAGGGAAGATTACCTGCCGGGGTGAAAATTCGGGATACGTATAGAACAGAAAGGGGGTAAATAACCCTAGAAGGTGTAAGGCGTAGCCGATGGGGCCTGCCATACGTTCTTATACTCATACTCATGAATTTACGTAACGAAATAATACACTGCATTAATATTTAATTTTACATTTAGATTATTTACTCTCTAAAAATGAATTAGTCAAAAATAACTAATTTAATAGTTAATAGTGGCTGCTTTTTCACATGGTTAACCATCGAATACCAAGGTATCCCAAAATTTAATAGCCAATTCTTATGTAAAATTCTACTCTGAATCCGAAAAAACCGTCAAAAATTATGAAAGTGGTGCAGTTTTTGAGATATAGTCAATTCCATATTAAATGGAAAATTTGCTATATCTCAAAAACTGTTCTACTTTTTTAACTTTTGAAGACATTTTCGGATTCAGGGTACAATTTTAAGAATTGGCTATTAAATTTTGGGATACCATGGTATTCGATGGTTAACCATGGCACAAGTGAAAAAGCAGCCACTATTAACTATTAAATTAGTTATTTTTGACTAATTCATTTTTAGAGAGTACCCGTCCCTTTCATCATTTTGCTAAGGTAACATATCAAATCGTTTATTGGTGTTTTTTACAAAATAAATTGTAAATTATAATAATTTTAATATAATTATTATATAATATAATACCTATATAATTAATTAAATAAATATTCCTTTGATGAAAAGTGTTGGGTTGGGTTGGTTGATTGGTTTATTTTAAAGGGTGTGCAATTAAGAGCGCTCTAACTTTAAAATGAAATAAAACCAACTACACTTAAGATATTAGGAAAAAAATATGTTTATTTAAAAGAACATCCTATGGCATTAATTATGAAAAATAACATCTTTCAAATGCCCCCCGCGGCTGCGCTCCACAGCGCGCATTCTGCAGGTCCAATTTTCTATCACTTTTTCGCACATTTCGGGTTCGATTTCATTTACATATTATACGAGTTATGTTGGCCTTCAGTGCTTCAATTGTTCGTGGCTTATTCACGTACACAAGGGACTTTACGTAGCCCCACAAAAAAAAGTCCAGCGGCGTTAGATCGCATGATCTCGCCACTGGATATCGCCGCCGCGTGAAATGACGCCGTTGAATTTTTCATGCGGCGGCGATATCCAGTGGCCACCGAGATCAGGCAACTTTTTTTTGTGGGGCTACGTAAAGTCCCTTGTGTACGTGAATAAGCCACGAACAATTCTGTGGGCAAAAGGCATAAGGGGATAAGTCAAAATGATCAATTTTTCAGTACAGCCTTAAACGTATTCGCATTAATTCAGGAAATATATTTATGGTTAGCGTGTAAACCTTTTTGTTAGCACATGTCATATGCTAACAAAAGCGTATACCCGCTAAACATAAATATATTTCCTGAATTAATGCGAACACGTTAAAGGCTCTATTGAAAAATTGCTTTTTTTGACTTATCCCCTTATGCCTTTTACCCACAGAATTGAAGCACTGAAGGCCAACATAACTCGTATAATAAATGAAATCGAACCCGAAATGTGCGAAAAAGTGATAGAACATTGGACCTGCAGAATGCGCGCTGTGGAGCGCAGCCGCGGGGGGCATTTGAAAGATGTTATTTTTCATAATTAATGCCATAGGATGTTCTTTTAAATAAATATATTTTTTTCCTAATATCTTAAGTGTAGTTGGTTTTATTTCATTTTAAAGTTAGAGCGCTCTTAATTGGACACCCTTTAGTTATATTGTAAGAATTAGTAGGGATCGAACTTAAGTTTCGCATCGGGACTGTAGACACAGGGTAATTTTTATATAAATATAGGGTGTTCACAATTTTAGAGAAAAAATATCGTTTACCAAGAGAGAAGTTGATATTTTTTAACTAAATTTGGAGAAAAGTTGCTTTGGGACCGTAATTCGACCCTTTCAAAAATAGCTTCAAACCTTTTTCGATTTTTTTCGAGCCAAGGGCATGTCAGTGTGGACACTGGTAGAAGGAGAACAATTATTTGTTGTTTAAAATTGTTATTTACGTCGTAAGGCTGAGAAGTAACTCTTTTTGTGCTAAGCTCAAAGTTTCAATGCTGACGCCCCGACGGATGGCATACAACATTTTATGCCAATGGCATAATTTTATTTGTTGTTAAACAAATCATTAAACGTATAATAATTTAAAAAAAGTAGAAAGTTACGTGACAGTAGTCGAATTCTTTGATTGGTACAAACGGTTTTTTACAGACTAGGAGGTAAGAAACTTTACCCCGATTGGTCTAAATTAATTATACAGCATGTTAAGGTTTTTGATTAAGGATATTTATTTCAAGGATTTAGCCCATTCAGTATTAGCATCCAATTAAGAAACACCCTGTATATTTGGGTATTTAGATAAATTATTTCCCTTTCAAGGACTAAAGCGAATAAAATTATTACTATTTAAAAATACAAATGTAATGGTAAGTAATGTAATATAATATAGGTATAGGGTCCATAGGTATGTGATGTAATATAATATAACCAACAATTTCTCGAAGAAGAGAAAGAATATAAAAAAAATGTTAAAGAGGGAGAGTTGTACATTCACGTAATGAGTTTTTTGAAGAAAAAACTTTTTGGTTTTGAAAAAACTGTGGTTTTTCACTTTTGATCAGATTTTTTTTTTTTAATTTGGGGTTAAATTCAAAGTTGGTCCTTCGGAAAAATATAGTCTATCCATTTGTTGCAAACATATATACCTACTTAAGTTAAGCTTGATACTAAAATTGAATTGCTATAATAATTATTATAATTATAATTATATAATTATTAGTGAATTAAAATTATTAAACTTTTACATTTCTGACACTTTATTATTTTAATAGGCGAAAAAAAAATTTACTCAGACCATCAAAAATATAATGGATATAAGTTTTCCTATCAAAGGTTCAATGCATTGGAAGATACAATATTTAAACAATATATAAAAACACTTAGTTTACATTAATATAACACTTTTCTAAGGATTTTGTTATAGATATCTACATTTTTGTACATTTAATAGTATATTATGTATCAAGTTTGATAAACGCAATTTTATACACGAATTTAATTTAGGCACGAGCGAGCTTGCAAGCGAGTGCTTAAGTTAATGAGTGTATAGAACAGTTTATAAACGAGGTGCATACTATACTTTTTTACGACAAATACTTATTATTATCTTAAAATGATTTAAATCAAAAATTTGTATAGAGCGCCATCTATGAAAGAACAGGGGAAACTATCAAATGTCACATTTTTACATTTTATGAACACAATTTTAAAGGTTATAAATCGAAATATATCTTGAAAATTGACAGTTTTTCACAGTGAAAGTAAAGGAAATGTTTTATGAGGACTTTACAGTGGAGTCCGTGCCCGAATTTATAGTTATAGTTTACTGCCGGCGAAATTAAAAGGTCAGTACAATGTTCATATAAACTTTTCAAATATTGGCGTTGAGAAACTATTTAATATTTTTGTATTTTTGTATTGAGATAATAAAATAATTTTCACATAGTATTATTTTACAAGAAAGTCACTTTATTTTAACGATTGTATGACATTTGACAACTGTCAACTAACTTAAAA